CTGGGGACCCTCCCTCCAGGAGCCTACGAGGCAGGAAGCTAGCCAGCCGGAAGACCGGCGCTCCCCGCCCATGGCTCCCTGTGTGCCAGAAGCCCTCCTTCCAGGGGCCTACGAGGCCAGGAGTGAGCTGCCGGTCTGAAGACCGGCGCTCCCCGCCCCTATGTTGTTGTTTTGAGACATGATCTCACTCTGTATTCTACCTTGAGCTTGAACTCACTGTGTAGCCCAGGCTGGCCTTGAATTTGCAGTAATTCTCCGGCCTCAGCACCCTGAGAACTGGGATTATAGGTGTGCAGTACCACACCTGGCTTTTTTGAGCCTTTTGAATGCATAAGTTATTCAGAAAGATTTTTCAGGAATGAAAAATAAGCCAGATATTGTGGCAACACTCTGGGAGGCTGAGGCAGGAGGACTGCAAGTTTGGTCAACTTAGTGAAATCCTGTCTCAAAATAAAAAATAATTTAAAAAGAGCTGGGTGCAAAGGCCCTGGGTTCAGCCCCTAGTAACACACACACACACACACACACACACACACACACACACACACATATGCACGCTCTAAATTTCTCATTCTGGCAATCTTTCTGAACCACTGATAGAGCCTGCTATATTATTTGTAAACTCTGTACAAAATAAAAAATATGGGACTCCATATTGCTCAAAAGTGCTGTGAAGGGAAGTGAGGTATGAGCATTTCCCTTTATTCGATGCTGCCTTTTTTCTGTGTTCCCGAATCACGATCAGGTTTTTTCTTACAATGCCCTTGTTATCTTCTGCTCCTCTGGCCTAGCACACCCCTTTGCCTGCCTTGTCCCTGACAGACTTGGTACCGTGCAGGGGTGCAGCCTCTGCACTGGGTGAACTGGCAGTGGGGTCAGGGATGCAGGGCTCACACACCGCCCTCGTTGCACATGTCCTCTGCTGGAGGACACACCCGGGACAGTGATGGTCATGCGTGCTCCACCCTGAGACACGGGTTCTCCCTGCACTCTCTCCGTGCCCCTCGGGGACGCCTGTGGCAGCAGTTGCCAGGTGGGGGAGGGGAGGAGGAGCAGGGCCAGGTGCAGGCCAGGGCAGCCTGGACGCGGGCCCATCCCCAGGAAATGCAGGGGACCAACCACCCTGTTGTCCACTCAGGCATCACAGACCCAACACACATGAAAGGTTGAGACTTCCAGAGAATGAGGGACCCCAGAGCATAAATCCGACCACAGGGCCCTTCAGGGCGCCCTGGGTGGCCTTGCTGGTGTCTGACAGTGGCAACAGTGCCATGGTGTCCTGTGCCCTGCCCAGGCATGGAGGAATAGAGACACAGGTGGTCACTGCACCCGGCAGCGAAGTACCTCAGTCCATGAGGTGAGAAAAGAAAGTGAGCCCTGTAGTGCATGTGTGGAGTCTTACTCAGGCGTAGAAAGGAATGGTGTTCTGAGACAGGCTGCAGCATGGATGGACCCAGATTTATGCCAGGTGTGTGTGAGTATGTGTGTGTGTGATGTACTGGGGATTGAAGGGCCTTCGCACTGAGTTACATACCTAGTCCTTTTTATTTTTATATTTAAAAATGATTGCTTATTTATTATTATGTGATGCTAAGGATTGAACCCAGGGCCTTTACATGGAGCTACATCTCCAGCTGGTTTTTTTTTTTTTTATTTTAAGACAGGCTCTCATTAAATTGCTAATGTGCCCAGGTTGGGCTTGAATTTGTAGTCCTCTTGCCTCAGCCTCCCAGAGTGCTATGACTACAGGCTTGAGCCAGCATACCTGGCCAGACAGGTACTATATGACATCACTTCTGAACAGGCAAATTCTCAGAGACAGAGAGTGGGTGAGTGGTTGCCAGGGGCAGGGCAGGTGCGCACAGGTGGGGTGGGGTGGGGCGGGGTGACCACTAGCCAGTATGCGGTGTCCTCTGACAGAGTGCGGTGTTCTGCAGTGAGCTGGTGGTGATGGTTGCACAACCTTGTGAATTACAGGAAAAGCCACTGAACTGTGTTATTGGAAATGGTGGATTTTATGGTAAGCTTATCACTTCAAAGGTCTATTAGAGAATCAAATTTGGCTTTGGAATACTGTACTAATGCAGATTTGATTCAAAAAGAGTTCATGCTTTGCTGTAAAACAAGTGCATTTCTAAGCAGTTCTATTAATTTTTAAGAACTTACTGAAGATAAGGTAAGGCTGAAGAGGGGTAGTTTTGATTTTGGTTTTGTTTATTTAGGGGCAGTACTGGGAATCCAGCCCAGGTGGTTCTGCCACTGAGCCACATCCCCAGCACCCTCTTACTTTTTCAGCATTTTGAGGCAGGGTCTTGTTAAGTTGTCCAGATGGGCTTTGAACTTGCAATCCTCCTGCCTGCCTCCCAAAGCGGTGGGATTACTGGTGTGTGCTGTGGTGCCTGGGCGATTTTGTTTTTATGATCCTACTGATTGGACCAGGGGCTCACACGTGCTGGGCAAGTGCTGAGCTGCGGCCCCAGCTTGAGGCGCCGTCTTAGAAGTGTTCTTATCCATTAACATTTCCTTTGCTATATGTGATAGCTGTTATTGGTTAGTGAAAGGAAAATGCGCTCAAAATTTTCCTGTACCTAGTAAAAGTTACACACATTTTTAGTAGTTTGTGTTTATTTTTCATCAGAAAATGAATAAAAGAAATGACTAAAATTTGCAAACATCTACTAGGGAGATAAGCAGCATCAAAGTGCTGGACTGATGCTAAGTGCTTTGGAGGGAAGGGTTTGGCCAGGGCCGGTCCCAGGGTGCAGTGTCTGTGTTGTGGATTCAGGTGTAATTCCCGTGTTAGAAGCACCTGAGCACCCGGGCAGCCTGCAGTCGGTGGTCGACTCTAAAAGGTCATGTTTAGTGCAAAAACAAGCAGCCCCCCATCCTCTTGAGAATTGTAAACTCTGACATTTGTTTTCCCTATAAGTCGAGGACGGGCTTTGAGGTTTTACCCCCAGTGAGTGGTTTAGTTACCATTATGCTGAGGAGCTTACAGTGGATGAAAAACATGGAGTCAGAACATCAGTTTTAGGGCTTCCGTCTCATCTGTATCCCCAGCTTGGTACTTAGTAGAATGAGCTGTTTTAATTTTTCTCTTTTATCTTCTTTGCACCGATGATGACAGTATCATGATGTGGGTGTTCAGTAAATATTAACTGATGACATATCCTTGTTTTTTCAGTTAACATTAGTCAGATCCCTGAAAATAAATACAGTGTGTCTGTTGTTTATTCCTTTCTACAACTTTAAATATCAAGACACCTCTTATAATTAGTTATTGTCTGGACTGAATGTTATTTTACATGGAAATTTTTGGAAAGAAGAGAAGCAGTAATTGATTTCTGGAGGTGGAGTAATTGGAGGTGAAAATTTTAATTACCTCTCCCTGAGGAAAGATATTTTGTTTAAGAAAGAACTTTTGATGTAGTGAGTAAATCATTTCTATGCTGTATTTTAATGATCATTATGTTAATAAAAACTCTTGAGTGAATAAGAAATAAATTAATCAACCAAAGAAGTAGGAATCAGTAAACAATTCTTAAGGAATCAGCTCAGCATTTAGCATTAAGTGATTTTTGTCTCTGTCTTATTGCGATTTCTGAGGCTATAATTAAGTCATTCTTGATTTATTACGTGGATTTCTTTTTGGTTACATTTTGCTGGTTCTCAGATTTAGGCAGTCTTGGAGACTTTTTCTCACCTTAGAGGTATAACGTAGAATTGGGGATAGTAACTGGAATTTCCAACCTAACTGAGTAGTCAGAGGTGGGTAAATCAGTTCCTTCCCCCACGGAGCGCACAGTATGGAGCTGACGCCAGCGATCCATGCAGGGTACTGAATTGCAGTGTGGCAGGTGATGTGTTGGCAGTGTAAGCATAGTGCACTGGTCTTCTAGGCCAGCATTAAACAAGATGGGGGCCTGGGGGCTCCAGGGGCAGCTGTGGAGCTGAGGCGAGAGGTGCAGGGGACCCGGGCAGTGGGCGGAGCGTGAAGCAGCAGCGGCTTCCTGCGGGTGTCAGGCGTGGGAGGACTCAGAAGCGAGCTGGCTCAAGTCAGTCTCCGTCTCCTGCACAGGGCCACTGACATGTTCTTAGGGTCTGGGTTCAGATCTTTCACCTGCAGACTGGGGATGATAGTCTCTTGGATTGCCAGCGGCTGGAGTGAGCACGGTGTTCTGTGGCGTGGTGGGAGACAGTGTAGGTGCAGTCAGGTAGGGAGCGTGCTCCTTGGGAAGCATTTGTGTCTCATGACCCACCCGACTCACCAGTGCTTCTCATCCCTGTAGGTTAAAGCAGCCACCGGCGAGGAGGTATCTGCTGAGGAGCTTGGAGGTGCTGATCTTCACTGCAGGTGAAACAGCGACTGTTGTTTCTCTTTAGGATTGCCATTTCGTTTACAAAAAGTTTTCTGTTATTTTTTTCCCAGCGCTAAACTTGCCAGACCAAACCACAGTGTTTGCTCACCTTTTTGCTATTCTGTGTTCAAGTCTTTGGACTGTGGAGTTGCGGCTCTAAGCTAGACTCATCACCTTTCCCTTCTAGCTGAGAAGGATGGGAGAGACAGCTTTTCATGGGGTTAACAAACATCCCTTGGGTTCCTGTAATGTGCCAGGCACTGCGTTTTTTTAGAGGTGGGATTAAGGGCCTTTTTGATGGCTTTTCTATAAGAGATCCCGGAAGGGGACTCGATAGAGGCAGCTGGCGCAGGAGCAGAGGTGGGGCTGGGCAGGAGGATCTGCAATCCATTTGGACTGAGGAGTTAGAGGAGCCTGTGGGGCGACCGGGTAGCGGGGCTGAGCAGGCATTGACTGCACGAGGCCAGGTCAGGGCTGGATTGCCCGAGTAGAGGCGGAGGTAGAGCTGTGGGACCACATGAGCTCTCCCCAGTACAATTAGCGAGGAAGGCCCGGTACTGTATCCTAGATGGCAAGTGCAGTAAGTCCGGTCACTGAGTTAGGCAGCCTAGAATGTGTGGCAAACCTGCCTGTCCTCTGTCCTGCGTGAACCAGGTGGCAGGTGGCTTTTGGGGACCCTGTGGGAGCCCAGGGAGAGCAGCAAGGTGGTAGCAGCTCCACCTCCCTGTCACTCCCCTACGAGGCCTTTTCAGGGGTTGCTTGTGGGGCCTCTGGCTCAGTGTTTATTCGATGCTTCCCACTCTGTGTTACGGATAGATGGTACCATCCTGAGTAAGACAGGAAGATATCAGACGTCGTCCCTTCTGATGGCATTTATAGTTTAATTAGGTGTAAAGCTAAATAAGTGAATGAGCTAAAAAGAAGAAAAATATGCTCATGTGTTTCCACCTTTAGAGGTAGAGGCTAGAGGCAGAGCAGTGAAGGGATGCTGAGGTGGAGATGGCGTCCAGGGAGAGCCTGAGAGCGGCTGAGTGCTCTCCAGTGTGCACACGTGCTTCGTGGTGTGGGGTCCCCCTGTATCTGAGCACTCACGGACCCTCAGGAGACCTGCGAGTGGCCTGTGGCTGGGGTGGGTGTCCATCAGGGAGCTCGGGCTGCAGTGGAACTGGGCGAGTAGAGGCATAAGGCGGGGTGGACTGGTGCCGATCAGGGGAAGGAGAGGAAGCATTTGAGGAGTATTAATTTTTCTAAACTTCAGACAAAAAAGTAAAGGTGTCAGCAGGGTATCAGGGTAGGGGTGTGATTCCAGGATTTGTTTTCTGTGTGCGTCACTTGCTGCCCCTGGGAGTGGGGCGGGCTGCCCAAGGCTCTGAGGCAGGTGTGTGCTCAGGTGTTAGAGCGCAGTTCCTGTTACGTACTGAACACTCGGTATGGGTGTTACTATCGTTCATAGTAACCCATTTAAAATCATGGGAAAATGATTAGGTGGGGATGGTGTTTTAAAAATAAATAATGTAAAATTTACTACTCACAGATTGTTTACATTCATATTTATACTTCTCTGATTAGTCACCCTGAAGAGCTAATTTAATATAAAGACTTACATATGTGTTTTATGAAAGAATTCCCTCTCCTGCTGTTTTGGTAAATATTAGGCAGGTTTTATAAGAAAGCATTGTATTTAAGGATTTACTTTCTGCTTCTGTTTCTTACTGAGTTACAGCATAGCAAGAAATCAGTGGTTAGAACTGGTCTTACATGTGAAGCTCTTGAAACATCAGGGCAGTGGCCAGATACAGCCGTGCATACCTCTGACGCCAGCCATTTGGGAGGCTGATGCAGGAAGATCACAAGTTCAGGCCACCCTGGGCAACTGTAAGACCCGTCTCAAACACAAGCAAATCAACAAACAAAAGGGCTGGCAATGTGGCTCAGTGGCAGAATGCTTGCCTAGCATGTGCGAGGCCCTCGCTTCCATCCCCAGAACTGGGAAAAAAAAAGTTATAAAAAATATTCAATTAGAGAAGCTAAGAGTCTGGCATTTTTGAGGCACTGTAGGGCTCTAATGAGGAGGAACATGATCTCCATGGTTAGGAGCTCCCAGTCCAGAAGTGGGAGGTGCTGTGACCCCCGAGAGCCCCACGCTGAGAAGCGTCTCCCAAGGGTTGGACTGTTTCCCTGGATGAGGCCTCACAGCCCGGAGTAAGCACCTCAGTCCTTACTCTCACAGTGAACAAACATGCTGATATTTTCAACCAGAATTTTTTCCTGGCTTTATGAATTTCTAAAATTACTCTATTAGAAAGTCACTGTACGTCTGCATGTGAGGTAGTAAGGCTTCTGACTGGGACAGAATCGTTACCAGAGGGGCCCATACCTCAGTCCTCGCACTTGAAGCTGAACAGAAGTTCCAGGCCCTGGTCCCAGAGCAACCTGCTCACTTCCGGTTTCCTGTTACCCTGGGGTGATAGAGTCAAACCTTTCTGTTACCTGTGATGGCCACACCTGGGTGTGACTTGGTGAGGCGAGGGCTCATCGTTCTCTCAAAAAGGGACTGTATGGGAGTTGCCGTGTTCAGAAGCTGGGTAGGAACAAATATTTCCTACTGTTAACTGTAACGTGAGACTGTGTCATCTGCTATTGGACAGATAGCACATGGACCCATACAGGTCTGTTCAAGGTCAGGGGTATGAACCCAGGGGCTTTGCTGAGCTACACCCCCAACCCATTTTATTTTTTATTTTAAGACAATGTCTTGTGAAGTTACTGAGTTGTTCAGATTGGGCTCAGACTTGCAATCCTCCTGCCTCAGCCTCCCGGAATGATGAGATTACAGGTGTGTACTGCCTCACCTGGCTAGGGCACACATTTAACAGCAGCCCAGCAGCAAGCCCCTGCAGCCTGACAGAAGAGGGCCAGGGTTGGAAACTAGAAGGCATGGACTCTGAAGCAGCTGCTACTCTACTCGTCCTAGGTTTTCCCCTTGGTAAAACAAGGCTACGTCTCTTTTGCCAGGAACACTAGGAGGATCAAATAAAGTGGCATTTATTAAAGTGTCTTGGAAATAGTAGCGTTCCTCCTCATCCTTGGTAAGAGAAGGATTTGGGGTTTAAGATGTGTAAGTCCTCTCCTTTCCCTGTGCTGGTTATTCCACTGTGCTTTACTCTGTAGGAAGTCGGGAGTCACTGACCACTACGCTGTGGACGATCACCACGCCCTTCACTTAGCAAGGAGGATCGTGAGGAGCCTGAATTACCAGAAGAAATTGGATGTGAGCAGGGCGTGCCTCTTCCCGAAAGTCGCTCTGGCTCATGCCTCCTGAATCGTGTCTTTCAGCGGGTTCACGCGATTCTCCTGAATTTCCGTAGGTGACTCTCGAGCCTTCCGAAGAGCCTTTGTTTCCTGCCGATGAACTGTACGGAATAGTTGGTGCCAACCTGAAGAGGAGCTTTGATGTCCGAGAGGTGTGTGAGAGCTGTGAACTCACTGCCAGTCACAGCGAAGGTCACTATGACGTCTGCGTGAGGAGGAACAGCTGTGCGACGGGTGCGGGAAGATGGGAGGAACCAGCGCTGCGCAGTAAACGCTGGGAGGAAAGGGGAACGTTCCTTAGTACTGGGAAGTTCTTCATTGCGCAGCGCGGCCTGGTTTGCTTGTAGACCCATGTTCCCGTGGACATTAGGAACTACGTAGGGCAGTTTCACAACATTTTGGGCTTTTGTTTTCAGTGTTCTTATTTTGAGAAGTGGATGAAATATCAATAAGTTGTTGAAAGAAGAAAATATACCTTTCTAGATCAATATGACATTAGTGAAGACTACATTTGATTACAGTCAAAGATGTTGCTATGGTTATGGATTTCTGACGGACTCTTCTGAATATCAGCACTATCAGTAGTGTTGATAGACAGTATGTAGGCTTTTGTTCCATTCAGTATCCATAGCTGGCAAAATACTCTTTAAAGTATGAAATTATCTTAATTGTAGATTAGTTGCTATCAGCTTTAGTACTTTGTTACTTTTCCTCCTTGACTATAACACTATGATGTACTAGTTGTGAAAAATAGAAAATACAAAAAAAAGAAAATTGTTTATAATTCTGCCATACAGAGAAAACAACAAATGTTTTAGAGAGGTAGATAGATAGACAGACAGATAGACAGACAGATAAACAAACAGAGTTGGCTCTCCATTCTGCATTTATGGATTCAAGCAACCACAGGTCGAACTATTTTCTAAGAAAAATTACACCTATACTGAACATGTATAGACTCTTTTCTGGAGAGATCTTTCCCAACAAATAGTATAACAATTATTTCCATAGTATTTACATTGTATTTAGGTTTTTCTCTTTTTTGAGTGTCAGGAATTGAACTCACGGCCTCACACTTACCAGGCAGGCACTGTGCTGTTGAGCTACATCCCTGGCCCTGTATTTAGGCATTTTGAGTAATCTAGATACTACTTAAACTATAAGGGAGGATGTACCATAGGTTATATGCAAATACTGCACTATTTCATATAAGAGACTTGAGCATCTGCAGGTTTTGCTATGGGGAATCGTAGAACTAATCCTCCATGGATAACAGGCGATAGCTGTATACTTTTTTATGTAGTTGAGATAGTCACTGCCCCCCTCCACCCCACTTCCCAGTGCTGGTGATCTAAGTTAGAGCCTTGCACACACTAGGCAAGCATTCTGAGCTGCATACCCTCACACATATATATATATATCATACATATACATAATACATATATAAAGACATACATTTATATATATTTTTTTTTTTTTTTTTCTGATCCTGTGATTGATTTCAGGGGGATTCTACCACTGAGCTATGCCCCTAGCCATTTTTAGTTTTATTTTTGAGACATGGTATTGCTGAGTTTCCCAAGCTGGCCTCAAACTTGCAATCTTCCCACTTGAGTCTTCTGAGCAGCTGGGATTACCGGCATGCGCCACCACACCCTGTGACTCTTGCCTTCTTAAGTAGTAATTTAGACTGCTTTTTCTGCTTCATACTCATCACTGTGATTATAATTTACTGTATTTTTCTGTAATAGCAAATGAGCTTTGTACAGTGTTCTTGATAGCGTATGGAGCTATAGCTGGCATTGTATTCATAGCTGGAAAACCTGGGTTCTGACCCTTTTTCCCTGGAGCAGCGATGGCAGACCTTTCAGAGATGAGTGTCAAACTGCAACCCCAAGCCCACTTATTTATGGCAAAGTGCCAATACTGCAATTTAACCTGAGGTTTCAGTTCAGAGCAAACAACTCATACATTAACATCTTTTGTTTTAAGATGAAAACAACTAAAGCATGTGCCATAGATTGTCCTTTAGTGCTCTAGACAGACTCCTGGGATTTAACCTCTCAAAGTATTGTTTTCTGCTTCTAGAAATGGGAGTGGTAGCAGATTATCTATGTGGTCCTGCAGTGTAGGTTCTCATAAAGGTGAGTGGATATATTTTCAGTGGGAGGATGATGTCAACTGGAAGGAAGACTTGAAGTGGCTTTACAGTTGGTGGCCCAAGGTTGCTGTCACCTTTTGGGTGGCTTTGTCTTCGTGTGGAGGAAGGGTGGCTGTTGCATGTTGATCATTAAAAGCTTCAGTTTTGAAGCCCGTAGCATCTAAAACACATAATTGTAGTATTCCCATATTTAAGAAAACAACTGCAAAATAATTCAAAGTAAGCTTTATTTTATGCAGAGAAAGACATTGGGAAGTGTCCACTCATCCTTCAGCCTTTGCATCTTATAAAAGGAGGCTTTGATTGAAAAAGGAAGTATGGGGCCAGGGGTATAGCTCAGTGGCACAAGTGATTACCTGGCAAGTGCCAGGTCTTGAGTTTGAGTCTCAGTATCAAAAAAAAAAAAAAGAAATATGAGCTGTAGAGGAAAGTGAGAGGTAGGCCTAAAATAGTTTTGGAGAAGTTTTGAATGGATTTCATGCTTGTGATTCTTTTTTGTATGTGTTCTGGGGATTGGACTCAGAATCTTGTGTGTGGTAAGTAGGTGCTCCCTTGAAGCAGTGCTAGCGTGTGGTAGTGAGCTGCAGGGATAAACTCTGTTATTTCTACACCTTTTATTTATTTATTTTTATTTATTTATTTATTTAGTAGTTTTTTGAGATAGGGTCTTGCCATGTAGTTCAGGGTGGCCTTGAACTCACTTTGTAGCCCAGGCTGGCCTTGAACTTGTGGCAGTCCACCTGCTTCAGCCTCATTTCTACTCATTTTAGATTAACAATGAATGTCGATGTACCTTCATGTGTACTAGACTCAAGATCATTGAGCATTTATTGAGGGTTTAATAATAGCTACCTTTTGAGCTGGGTGTGGTCACACACATCTGGGGAGGCAGAGACAGGAGCATCCTAAAGTTGAGCCCAACCTGGGTAACTTAGTGACCTAGCAAGGCCCTGTCTCAAAAAATAGAAAAGGCTTGGAATATAGGTCAGTGCAAAGGGCCTGAGTTCAATCCCTGGTAACACACACACACACACACACACACACACACACACACACACACACACGAGGGGTGGAGAGCAAGAAAACTGCTCTTTAACAAGAGCCAGTCAGCATGCTTTAGTTAGCATCTTTAAGTTGTTTGTTTAATAAGTGAGGAGACAGGTTCAGAGGATTTTAGGACCAGTTTCCAAGGGGGGGGGGTTGGGAGTCCTAGCTGGTTCTTCAGCTTAGCATTATTTTATTAGTTCCTGTCCTACTCATTTGTCATAGCGCTCTAGCTGGTTCAGCTTCCAGAAGTGAAAGCTGAGACTCAGATGGGTTAGATGACTTACTCTGGTATACCCGGGTCATGTGGGATACCTTTGCCTGGAGCCAATGTCTTCTGACTCCAGGTCTAGCTGGGCCCTGCTCTCTGAATCTCTGAACGCCTCTCTCTGCAAGCGCGAGTCCTTGCCACCAGCCTCCTCTGCTGCTTTTCTTGCATGCAAGGTGATGCTCTTGCTTCTATAGTGCAGTGTAAACTCTGAGCCCAGAATGACTGCAGGACAGTAGCTCTGCACATCAAGTGAAATTCTAGGAAGATTTTCTGTGTAGGGTGAAATTGTGTGTGTGTGTGTTTTGAGACAGGGTCTCACTATGTAGTTCAGTCCAGGCTGGCCTCGAACTGACAGTGGTCCTCCTGCCTCAGCCTCCGAAGTGCTGTGATTACAGGCATGTACCACTTCACCCAGCTGTGTAGTGTGAAATTTTGTGCAAGTAACAATGTCATTGTGAATTATTTGCCTTACAAATAATTTTAATGTGAAAATGCTTTTATAATATAATTTCTCAGGAACTTTCATTTTACTTCTTAGGTCATTGCTCGAATTGTGGATGGAAGCAGATTCAATGAGTTCAAAGCCTTTTATGGAGATACATTAGTCACAGGTATGAAAGTGAAGAATTGAAAATATAAACATTTTCTACTGCTTTAGAGATAAGTGGTCTTTTGTCTCAAGGCTTTGATGTACTTGGCATGAACTATGTTATTTAGAACACTAGAAATGTATGAGTCAGTTTTCTAAGGAGCTGTTTCATAAAAACTGTTTGTAGCTGAGTGGCTTCATGCATTCAGAGAATTTAAGATGAGGTCAGCTCGGTGCTGTGTGATGGGCCCTTACCTGTGGCGTTATATAAAAAGGTTGTTAGTACAGTTGGTGGAAAATATTTGTAGTTCTTTTTGTTTCTTCGGGTAACTGATTACTTTGAAAATTTCAGCATTATCTCCTTTGTTCTTTGGGAGATTTTGTGTGTTGTTACAGCTTTCCTGAAGGATGGAGGGTGAGTTGAACCTGCTGATGGTCTCTGTAGGTCTCAAGCTGATCCAAGCAAATGCCAGATTGAGAGCACGGGACAGGGTGCATATCTGGGAAAACAAAATAATGTTTCTAAAAGTCAGTTTTTTTGTCTAAAGTATTAAGTGTGTCAGCCTTCAAAGAAAATGTTTCAAGCAGATGCTAGACTCTATAATCCTCCTGGGCACAAAGGCAGAACAAATATTGTGAATTTTAGTTGGCCATAAAAAGCTTAAAAATACAGTTGTTATTGTGAAGGTGACATATCACAACAGGAAAAGAAGAAGTAGCTCCAAAATCCATATCACAAATGTACATTGAGGCTCCAGATAAATCTCGGCACTTTCTCCTAGCTTGATTTGTGAGCAAGAGAAAGGTTCACACTGGGAGTAGAATTTATGTTTTTGTGTTTAGGTGTTTAAGTGATTAAAAGCTTTTTGGTTGATATATGGACAGGATTTGTTATTAGACAGTGCAGGATGTAACCCTTATTGTGTAGCGATTTAAAACAAGTCGAAGCTTTTCTGCTTTCTCTAAAGATGGATGGGGGGGTTCTTGTCATCAACTTTTACGTCTGCCTAGTACTTGCTACAAGACTTGTGACACCTTTGTACCCCCAAGTACCAGGAGCATATCCAGTGTCCTCCAGCTCTGCTTGCCTATCCCAGAATTCAAATAAGTTTGGGGTGAGGGGAGGGAGAGAGGAGGAGAAGGCAGAAAGGGTGATGGTGTGGAATTCTCTGTGGCTCCAGGGCCCCTGGGAGTTTGTGAGCACTTCCTGCTGCTCCTCGCACTGTACTTTCTTGGAAGGGCGATTTTGTGTTTGGATCCACCAGTTGGTGAAGACCTTCCCTCCACGGGTCGCTAGTCAAGTGAAGCCCTTGTCAGAAAGCTTGTGCCTGGTGCCCCCAGGGCTGGGATGTCCGAGTGTTGGCAGGGGACAGTGACTACAGGGGAGGTCTTAGGCCGGGTCTGAGGCTCTGTGGGTGGGCAGGGCTGTCAGCAACTTTGGAATTGCCTCTGTGAGTGGATGTGCACCACAGGCTTTCAGCCGGGACCTCAGGCCTGAAGGACAAAGAGAAATCTCGGTGGCCATCTAGTCTGTGTTCTGTTTTACCACCTTAATACATAAACATGATGACTTAAAGAAATAATATTTCAAGATGAAGCTGGAGTAAAGAACAAAAGCACATCTTTAAAAATTGAGCATCCCGGTTTGTCCTGTTGGCAAAAACCCCCGCCTGTTTTCCTCCTGTGGTGCTTTGGGTGCTGGCTTTGTGTCCGGGGTGCACTGTGCGGCTGGAGTGGAGCCACTGGCCTCGGACAGGGACTTCTGCCGGCCATCTGTGGCCCGCTCTCGCAGGGCCCAAGGCCTCAGGCTTGAGCTCCGAGTACACAGCACATGTTCCTAGGTAGAAGTAGGCTTGTGGCTAAGCCCTCGGGAGGTCTCCTAATCAAGCTTTTGTGATTTGTAAAATAAGTACACCCAAAATACCTGCCTCACAATGTAACTATTTCCTCTTTCCTTCTTGCCCCCCTCTTCCTCTCCTCACGGCGGAGGGCAGGTGTTTGGGGTGGCCTTGGAGGTATAGACAACATATAAATGACATTTGTGAAAGGAGAAAGAAGCAGATTCGAATGCACAGAAAATAAAAGCAGAGCAATCCATTCCTCTAGGTTTAACTGGATTTCTTGCTTTAACCCTTGTTACTTCCAGGCTTGACTGTTCTCGCTTTTTCTTTTTTTTTAAAATTAGTTTTGCTGAGTTAATCTTTTTGTTTAATTTCAAAGGCCTGTTGTTACATGGGCAGTTTCAGTCAGGCTGGTTAGTAGCTCTGACCTTGGCCCTCTGCGTGGCTCTGTGCCTTTGGTGTCTGGTGTGTGCCGCACTGAGATGCACATTAGAGGAATGAGGGGATGGCAGGCTTACCAGTCATCTAACCAGAGCAAGCAGTCAACAGCAGATGGAAAGTGTGTAACATGACCCTTCTGAGAAACAAAAGAATAAAAAATTTTAAAAATCAGATTCTGGTACTTTAGAACTTAATAAATTGTGACATGAGCCATTTGATGCTCTGGATAGAATTTTTACATTCTAAACTTTGATCTGAAATTAAAGGATGTGTAAATATGCTTCTGTTGTGAATTAAAAGCCCTCTGAAATTTTTCTTTTGAATTTTTTTTTTTTTGAGGATTTGCTCGAATATTTGGATATCCAGTAGGTGTCATTGGAAACAATGGAGTTCTGTTTTCTGAATCTGCAAAAAAGGCAAGTACTGTTAAAATGTTCCAAGATTTTCAGTTTTAATCTAACATTGATTTGTAAAGATCAAGTAATGGATTAAAATTTACTGCATGAAAACTTTATAATGTTTAAGCAGACACCTTTCCAGAGCACTGTGTGTGTGTGTGTGTCTGTGTGTGTGAGTGTGGGGAAGTTCTTTTGGTGATTTACAGCAATATGAACTATCCGCAGCACTATCAAAAAGCCAAATATACTTGCTTTAGGAGAATTCTTACGAGATACCTGAGTTAAAATTGCTCGAGAGGACATGCACGTGTTCTGAGAAGGTGCGGAACCTTCGTCCAGAAAGGGTCTCCTCCTCCGGCGGTGCTGTACTAGTGGGGTTCAGCTTTCCTGCTCAGGTGCTGTGGGGTGTGAGCTGTTTGTTCCTTCCACCCCGTCATCCCTTTAACTTTATCGTTACTTTTTGTAAATGGGAAGGTAGTAGGTCTTTATTACTAGTGTTCTAGCTTTAAGAGGAAGTTCCTGAATATCGTTGAGCTTAATATTTGATTTATTAAGAAGCAGATGTTTTAGTCCTGTCTTTCCTTTTCAATAAATAAACTGTCCCTTATTGATGCAAGTAACAGGTAGTTAAGCTTTTTCATACCCTAATTGAGGAAGAATTTGTCTTTGGTGAAATATTTTATCAGTGAAAGTTTCTAAGGGGCTGGGAATATAGCTCAGCAGCACAGTGCCTGCCTGGCAAGTGCAAGGCCATGAGTTCGATTCCTGGTACCCCCCACTAAAGTTTCTATACTTTACTATTATTAATTCTGCTGGCTCAACTATAAAGTGAAAACAAAGAAGTAAAAATAAAAATCACCCATAATCACATTACAAAGAATTTTTAGTAACAACTTATTATGGTTCTTTAGTTTTTTCTTTAAAAAAAGAAACAGCCAGGGATATAGCTCAGTGGCACAGCACCTGCCTGGCAAGTACAAGGTCCTGAGTTCAATTCCCGGTATAAAAAAAAAAAAAAAGAAATAGATATTGCAGTGGTACCTTAGTTCACAAACTTAATTCTCTGCATGATTCTGGTTACAGAGCATATTGGATGAGAATGGAATCAAATTTCCCCATAAGGTCAACATGGAATCTAACCATTGAATTTGATCAGTCCTCATCCAGCTTTGTGTGTGACCAGAATTGTGGAATGAATTAAATTCATTGAGCCGAGGCACCACTATATAGAGAGGTTTTGCTTCTTTTGATCTAGTAGTGTATACTGAGGGTTTCTCAAAATAGTAAATATTTCCAGAAATAATTACTTGTTTTTGTTTTTGCAATAGATCTCCTTATATAGTTCGGGCTGGCCTTGAACTCACTATGTAGTCCAGGCTGGCCTTGACCTCATGGCAGTTCTCCTGCCTCAGCCTCCCAAGTGCTGGCATTATAAGTGTGTGCCACCACACCTGGTTCTGAAATAATAACTTTTAATGAATATATAGTACACTTATTTCAACAGATTTCTCTATTAGGCTGAGGCCAGACAAACTACCTGATTGTATCTATAGGCTTAGTGCAAATAAACTCAGGAGGATTTGTTTGGCCCAATCTTGACATTTCATTTGTTGATATAAACCCCAAAGCTTTATGCAATTTCCTCATTTCTGTAAACACAGTCACATTGAGGTTGAACAGTTACTTGGCAATTTAGTAGCTGCCAAGGCCTTTCTAGGTAAGGCATCTGCAAACAGAGTAATCATAAAGGAAATGGTTTATAAGAATTCTTGCTCACGTGATCTTTAGAAGATAGGGAAAGAATAGTCACATTTTTGGATCAATAAATACTTTTCTAAACTCAAGACTAGAAGATCTCTAACACTCAGCCTAACCTAAAAATCATATTTATTGGGGAATGTACTTTGGTAAGAAAGATGTATTTCACTATAATCTTGATGCATGAAGGAATTTCGCATGGTCTTCAGAATGTAAATGTCATCCTTGATATCCTAGAATGGTTTATATTCTACCTCTTCTCAAGTGGAGAACTAGCAAAGTCCGGCAGTTCTCATGGGCAGGAGGGTTTTCTTCTGGTTTCCCTTGCTGTTTGGAACGTTAGAAACTGACTTCATCTCTGACACAGGAGCTCTCGATAGCCATATGCTGCTGACTACATAAGCATTTGGGCAAAATAAGTATAGTGCAAACTGCAGCCACACACGTCCCGCTCACAGTAGAACATGGTGTACAGCTGTTACTGTTGGTAGATGGTCACACCGTCAGGCAAGTTATTCCTTCCTTCTTTGACCTGAATTACGGTTTTTATAGGGTGCACAATGATTATGGGCCTAATTCTCCTTTAAAAAAAAATTCATATTTATTTATAGGGTGCTCACTTCATCCAGCTGTGCTGCCAAAGAAATATTCCTCTGCTGTTCCTCCAGAACATTACTGGTGAGAAATCAGTTTGGTGATGTGTATTATTGAGCTAATTATACTTTTTGACCCCGAGGAATGTAATGACCAATATGAGTCTGTCACCTCTGTGGATGTCATGTCCCACACCTAACCTTTTCATGGTGGATGGAGTGAGTTTTGAGTCTCTTCCAGCTCTAGAGTTCTCTTTTCTGAGTTCTGTGATTGTCTGCTCTGTTTGTTTGTGTTTCGTACTGTGTGTGACAGAGAGGCACTATGTCAGATATGTCGGCAAGCAGAGGACTCTTTCCCCATCTTCTAAGTCACATGTGATTGCCTGCAGTTCAGGGGACGGAGGGGCCCTCAGTCAGTGGTGGGCTCCGTCAGGCCTTCCTGAGCAGGGTGAGTTGGCTCAGGCAGTGAGCAGGGCCTCAAATAGAACTGGCGTAAGAACATCTTCTTCCTGTGTCTGCTCAGCTTTAAGATACTCAATTAGATGAATTTTAAAGAGAGGTTGTGTCTAGATGGCAGCCCATGTACAAGTGCAGATTAAAAGAACTCTGAAATTTAATCCAGGGATCCACTTTTTGATGATCACTCACCACCAGTAAGTTAAACATGGTACCTGGGAGATGCCTGCTTTTTCATTTTGTTTTGTTTTGGCTGTGTTTTGGCCAGAAAGCAGAGGCTGAGTTCAGTTTTGCAAGACTGCATCTGAGGGACCTGTGAGATACCCATTTGCCCCTAAATAAATCTTGGGCATAGAAGAGGTATCTTAGCTGGGGAGAAAAATGCAGGCATTACCAGAATGTGCATGTATTTAAAGCTGTGGGAATAGATAGGAACATTCTAGAGAGAAGGCTCAAGGGTAGTCTTCGTGAAATTCTGGGTTTTTCCACAGAGATAGGAATAAAGGAAGAAAAGGAGCATGCTTGTACAGTTGTTTTTATGGTGAGGGAGGAGTCGAAAGCCAAAGGCTTCCCTCTTTTTGTTTGAAGGCAGAACATCCACAGAGAGAGGAGTGGGGAGGGGATGGGATAAGCATTCCCTCTTGAAGAGAACTAATATTTGGGTGTCTAGGGTGTGAGAGAAGTCACGGGGAGTCTGGAAGCTTAGCTGTAGCAGTGCTAGCTGCTCTGAGAGCCGGCTGAGGAGGACGCAGAGTGAGGGGCCATACTGCCATTCCTGTGCCGGGGCAGTGGGCACAGGGCACCGTCAGAATTGGCTGAACGGAGCCGCATGGCGAGGTGCGGGACAGCCACAGAGCAATCCGAGGCAGTGAGTTCAAGCACACAGATGAGAGGAGCCCTGTGCTGCTGCAGACAGGAGGGGGCCAAGTGTGGGGGTCTCCGGGTGATGGTGCCGAGGGGCTGTCCAGGTCCTGGTGGCACAGGGCAGCTGAAGAGCGGATTCAGAGAGCTGGGTGTGAAGAAAGAGGGATTCTGCTGGGTGTGAAGAAAGAGGGATTCTGCAGTCGCAGTGTTCGCAAGGCATTGTATCCTTGCTAGTGAGTCATGGCAGGGGCTCTGTGTGTCTCCATGAAACATTAATCCTCCCTTCATCAAAGTTTTAAAGCAGAGCCTCAGAAGGAACGGTATTTTTAAACCAGGTCAGTGGACACGAAGCCTTCACGGTTGGGCTTGCCAGGATGCTTTCTCCTTGCCTGTCCCTGTCACAGTCTCTCACCATCAAGCCACGCTTTGGGGTGATGGCCGGAAGATAGACAGCTCCATTTTGTAGCTTAAAGGTCTCCTTGGGCATCCTGGTAAACTGTTTTAAGGAAATTAAAAAAGTGCTGAGAGAAAATTTTATTTTACTTCTCAAAGCAAACTTTTTGGATGTACTTCACCTATGAATATTTTGTTAGTGCAAGAGGCTTGCGGTAATATGAATGACAAGATGTCGTTGTAGCCTTGCTGAAGCTGAACTCTGTTCATTAATCTCGTCACCCAAAGTTCCGTGTTTATTCTCGCTGCTAGGATTCATGGTTGGTAGAGACTATGAGGCCGAGGGAATTGCCAAAGACGGTGCCAAGATGGTGACTGCGGTAGCCTGTGCCAAAGTGCCTAAGATAACCGTCATCATTGGGGGGTCCTACGGGGCTGGAAACTACGGGATGTGTGGCCGAGCGTACAGGTAGGTGGTTATGATGATTTTCTCCGAGAGAAAGAAACATGCTTCAGGGGTAATTATAAGTGGTCAGGTGAGTCAGGTGTGAGCTATAGAATGGCATTCCCAAATCTTGATCAGTTGCACTCAAATTTATATCTTCTGGGGATAAAATTAAATCTAATGCTGAAGATACTATTTGGAAAAGTCTACAGGGGGACCCAGGAAATACTGGAAATAGCCAGTAATGAAAACAGCACACATTAAGACTTACATGATGCAGCTAAGATCTTGCTTTGTAATTTTATTTATTTTTTGTCTTTTTGAGGCAGGGTCTCACTATGCAGTTCAGGCTGGCCTTGAGCTCACTTTGTAGCCCAGGCTGGCCGTGAACTCGCAACATAAGATCTTGCTTTGAGAAAGGTCCATAGCCTTAAATGTATATACTGTACTGGAAGAGGAAGTAAGGCTGAAAATCAGTGAGTGAGACATCCAGTTTCCCAGGAAGAATAGCAGATTAAACTGCAGAACAATAGAAAGGACATAATAAACAGCAAACGTGAGGTAGAAGAATCACTAAAGCCCCAAGGTGTTTGAAAGATTAATATACTTGGTAATCCCTTGGTGGTACCAAACAAAAAGAGGAGGTGCATAGAAGCCAGTATCAGGAGTGAAAACAAGACAAGGCTGCAGATAACAGGGCAATGTTAGGATCACTTTTAGACCCACAGTGAACTACTGCAGAACTTGGAAATCATGTTGCATGTACAGGCAATGGAAACTGGTCCATGTGAATTCCAGGCACTTCCTTCCTTCCTTCCCTCCCGCCCTCCCTTCCTCCCTCCCTTGTTCCTTCCTCTCCCCCTTCTCTCCCTCCCTCCCTTCCTTCCTTTCTTTTTTGACAGAGTCTCACTATGTAGCCCAGGCAAACCTTGAACTCAAGGCAATCCTCCTGCCTCAGCTTCCTGAGTGCTGGGATTACAGGCATGTGCCACCATGCCCAGCTAAGGCGCTTTTTTGTTTTTCCAGTACTGAGAATTGAATCCAAGGCATTTGCACTGGAGCTACATTGAGGCTGTTTTTTATTTTTTATTTTGAGACAGGGTCTCCCTAAGTTGCCTAGGCTGAGCTCAAACTTGTAATCCTCCTGCCTCAGCCATCCAAGTACTTGGATCACAGATGAACATCACCATACCTGGCTTGGACATGATTTTTTTTTAATTCTTCAGATGATATAATGTACAGTAGTAAACAAAAACCACTTATTCAAAAGGCAAACATGGCTTCTGAAAAATCTCTGTACTGTGTTTCGAATGAATTTGATCATTCTGTTTTTCTTCCCAGCCCAAGGTTCCTCTACATGTGGCCAAATGCTCGTATCTCAGTGATGGGAGGAGAGCAGGCGGCCAGTGTGTTAGCCACCGTAGCCAAGGACCAAAGAGCACGGGAGGGGAAGCAAGTGAGTGACGTTTCTCCTCCTCCTGGGCTTGGCTTCCAGCAAGGAACACAGAGGAGTCCTGGAGCAGAGGACCCGGAATCCTACTGTGTCCAGGGGAGGGGGTCACAGTGGTGGCGAACCTGTGGCACGTGTGCCACAGCCAACTGTTGGTTATTGTTAAAAGCTCTGAAAGGTTCGCCACCCCTGGTAGGAGATGGTGAGCTGGGAGCTGGGACATTGATTTAGGTGTATGCATCTAGGCTGTCTGTTTTCTTGTTTATTTACGTATTTTTTATGGTTCTGGGGATTGAACCCAGGGTATTACCCCTGGTAGCCAAGGGCTTTGCCACTGAGCCACATCCCAGCCCATCTGTCTTTCTCTTTTAAAGCTATTTCTTGCTGGGTGTGGTGTCACACGCCTGTAATCCCAGCCCTTGGGAGGCTGAGGCAGGAGGATCGTTGTGAATGCAAGACCAGCCTGCACTACAAAGTGAGCTCGAGGCCAGTATGAACTGCGTAGCAAGACCCTGTCTCAAAAAGACATAAACACACACAAATCCATTTCTTTTGAGGCACTTTTGTGGTTGTTTACAAATTTTTCAAAAACTTCCTGTGAGTGCCTGGGCATGAAGATATTTGATTCTTAGTCATTTGTAGTTAGTGGAATTTAAATAAGTCTAATTTTTTTCCTTGATTTTCTGACTAGAAGCAGCAGAATTCTGTTTTCTCCATTTCACTTTTAGATTGTGGTGAAAGCTGCCTTGAGTGGGGGGCTCAGGCCCCTCCTGAGCAACACGTAGTGTCCAAGTCCTGGGAAAGGAGGGAGAAACATGGGCTGGCAGTGGACACCAGCAGAGAGGCAGATTGGCAGGTGGCTGCTTTGGTGTCTGTCTGAGATGCTCCTGAATTTTTGTGTTTTCTTTTAAATTTTTTATTAGTTGTAACTTTGTAACTGTTTTGTGTAAGCCCCAAGCCTTAAATGGTAGTCACGTGTTCCTGAAGTTGCTCCTACATGACATGGAAGAAGTGTGGCCCTTTCAGGCGACGTCTTGCCCGTCGTCCGGTCTGCCGCTTGGCTTGTGGAGCTGGGTTAACATCAAGCTCCACCTAAGCCTCACCTCCTTGATCGTCTGTGCCAAGCAGCAGGAACTCTGCAGAGTTAACACAGAGCTTTTAGAGTCACTTTAGCACCAGCTACCATCAAAGCTTGTGTGGGGTGTGTGGGTGTGTGAGGGTGGGAGGAGCTGGTCATGGAGGTGGGGAAGGTAAGGTATGACATTCTGCCCGTTAATTTGAAGACATGCCTTAAACTCTAGCATGATAATCTCTTATTAAATAGTTGTTCCTTGATTGGTTGATGCACAGATATTCAAGTGCGTCTTTTCATTTATGAAGGGAAAGTACAATGTGTTACTGGTTTTCCATATATATTCTTGATCTGTAAAATGTTACTAAAATGCTGAAGTGTTTATATAAAATAAGGTAGGATTTATTTGAAATGAGTCACTTGTTTCTGGTGTGGAAGGTTTTTTTTTTTAGCATTGTATATCAGCTTCACTTACCCTATCATAACCATAACAGCTCCAAATGTGGAAAGTTTTTGTAAGGTGAAAATATTTTTCCAGGTTTCAAAATAAATTCTGAAGACTTTTATGTTTGAATTATCAGTTGATTCTTGTCATAGGAGGACCATTAACTTTTTTTTCAATGCCATTAACTTTTTAATGAAAGGAAAATATCTCTTCATTATCTGGGAAATGAAAGCTGGTTATTCAAGGTGTGGTTGACATTTTATCCCTCTAAACTTTGAAATTTTTCCAATTTTGCCTGTTTGAAATGAACATCTTATACTTCACCTTCTCAACCAGAGCCTGCGAGGTGATGTTGCTCTTTTGTTGTATTGTATAACTCCCACCAATGGTACTACGCTGGAATGCGGTGGTGTGTGGTGCCCTTGGTTTTGACCTTATGTTAAATAAGCCATAGGGTGTTGCTTCTGATAAGGGAGGTCACAGTGCACTAATTTGATATTTATGTCTCTGGTGAGATTATGTATGTTGGAGCGTCACTCATGTGCTATATATCACCACACAATAGTGTAACATTATTGTCCATGAAATTTGTTCTCTTGTGAGGTTATCTGGGCAGGGTCCATTGTTCTGATGAACCTGACCTACTCATGGCCCCTTTTCTTTCAGTTCTCCAGTGCTGATGAAGCAGCTTTGAAAGAACCCATCATTAAGAGGTTCGAAGAGGAAGGAAACCCTTACTATTCCAGTGCAAGGTGCGAGCCAGGGCCCTGACTCCCGGACGGCGGCCTCTTGGCAGCCAGCACTGATACTCGGGATGGTCGGCCTTCATAGGAATCGGAGATAATATCTGGGTGCACCTAGTTTTGGGCCTTTACACTGCCGCCTCTCCTCCGCGGCTTTCCTGTGCCGTCGATCCATCAGTATCATTCTGATTCTGCAGCCCTCATCCTGCTGCCAGTTGGGGTTTCCAGGGACAGGAGGAACCCTGTAGCCAGAAGTGGACCGTGCTGGGAGCTGGGAACGACGGTTACAGTCTTGGCTGTGTCATTCTCAGGAAGTGAATTTTAATTTTTACTTAAAAAACACCTCTCTTGTCTGTTTTTACTCCGTGTTAGGCATGAAATTCGTTGGACATGAATTGGTGCTGGTTAACAAGTGTGTTTTGCACACTCAGGTGATTAGTCACAGCCAGGGCCTACATGTCAGCGCCAAGTAATTAGCTCGCTCACCATCAAGCTGTTGGGTGTTTGTTTTTATGCCACTTAATGAGGTAATAAATTTTCCCTGCCTTGCTCCAGCTGGAGACCTGCTGGCGGGTGCCTTCGACAACTTCAGAGCTCTGCATCTTGAGGATGAGAGTTTCACGTCTTTTTCATCTTTTCGGCAGATGGGGAAAAAATGACTGTTTATGTCTTAAAATTAGGTTATGCTGTGATTAATATTGTTTACTGGTGAAGGCAAGTTGGAAAGAAGGGAGAAAAGAAAATCAAAAGTTAGAATCGATTTAAATCATTTGAACACAGCATTTGTGACCCACAGCGCTCTTAGCACTGGGGTTCGAAGCTGAAACATCTGGTTCCTCAGGCCGTAGAGTCTGAGTTCACATACTAACATTTGGGATTTTTAAGATAATATTTGAGGGACTGTCTGTCCCCTTTGTAATGCGATTTTTGTTTTACAGATTTACAGATGTATTTTGTTGTGTTGGGCCATCAGATCCCTTCATTAAGAACAGTATATTTCTAGGCTTTGCTTTTCATTTTGCGATCATGCAAATAGACTTCTGTTGCAGCCAGTAGAGGCAAGGAAGCAACAGAGAGCTGTGTGAGAATTTAAGGTAAAACCTGAAATCAGCTGAAGGACAGTTTTTCTCATGTAGCAGAGAATTGCAGAGACAGTTGAAATATTGAACTTTGAAACCTAGAAGATCTTGTGTGAGCCATGAGCTTGTTTTCAGTACCAGTGATGATAAATGATGTATTGAGATCAAGGCTGCATCCTTTATTATTTTCCTACAAATATTATTTTGAGTGGATGTCATGTGAGGCCGGAGAACAGATGACCCAGATAGACTTAGCGTCTGAAATAAATATTCGAAGACAGAAAGGTTTCTCCATCCGTCGGTAGGTGCTGAACCCACCTGCTGAAATGGTGCGGGGAGGCAGCAATTTTTTCTGAAACATGCAAGGACTTTCAGGCTGGCTCAGGGTACCACCCTTAGTTTAGTAAGTCTTAGATGGGCAATATTCTCTAGCTTACCTGTGCTTTCACAGAGCAGGGCACCGCCGGCTCCTTTTTGGCTGCAGTGCCAGGGGTGGAAGCAAGCCCACACGTGTGCTAGGTGAGCACCAGACCTCCAAGCCCCAGCCCCAGCCCCTCCAGTATTTTTCTTAATCCTTACATGTTTCGTATGTACCTTGCCAGTTTGCTTCTGCTAATTGTTTTTACAGTCCAGCTTTATCGGGCAATAGATTAGAGCCTCTTACCTGGAGCAGTCTTTAATGGGCACCATTAATGAGCCCCCCCATCATCGTGCCTGGAGGAGTACATGCTGCAGACCTCAGAAGGGAATGCAGTCAGTTCACCTACGTGCAGATTACACGCTTTCTTTTCATTGGCCACTGATACTTTAGGGTCCCTATGATGAATGTTTTGCAAGTAAAGGTTTGATTCTGTCTGTCGATTTAAGAATGGTTTAATAATTGATGTGATGTCCAGATACTGAAGGCAGTTTGTTTAAAGAAAACAAAACTTCTAATAACCTCTAAAAAGTAGTATTTCTTACTCAGTTTTCTTTAATTTTTCATTCATTTTTCTTTATAAATGTGAGGTTGTCAGTGAAAAGCAAGCTAAAATCTCTATTTAAATTTTGGCCGAGTCTGGTGTAGTGGGATACACCTAATAATTCCAGCTATTTGGGAGGCTGAGGCAGGAGGATTGGAAATTCAAGGACAGCCTGGGGAACGTAGTGAGACTGTGTCTCAAAATATAGTAACAAAAGGGCTAGGAATGTAACAAAAATAACAAATATAGTAATGAAAATAACAAAAGGGCTAGGAATGTAACAAAAATACATTTGGAGGTACTTACTTTACTAGTAAAGTATGTTAAATCAAATTGAATAACTTTTATAGTTTTTTCAGAGTTATGGGAGAGTTGGGTGAATAAAGATACTGGCTTTTTTTTTTTTTTTTGGTCTCTTTGAGACAGGGTCTCGCTTTGCAGTTCAGGCTGGCCTCGAGCTCACTTTGTACCCCAGGCTGGTCTCGAACTTGCAATGATCCTCCTGCTGGGATTACAGGTGTGTGCCGCCACGCCCAGCAAGATATTGGTTTGAGATTATTACCTGGGCATATGTTCTCTTTCCATATTAATGCCAGAAACACAACATGATTTGTACATTTGTCTGGACAAAAAAAGGACAGGAAAGTGTTTTTGTGGAATATCTAAAAATAATTTTAAATCAGGGATTACTGTCAGATTTCAACCTTAAACTCAGTGTGACATTTTGTGGTTGCCAGGGAAAAGTCATGTTCTCCCCCACCCCTTTTCTTCTTTTGCGTTAATAAGTTATATTAGAAATAATTTCTGGCCAGTCCTCGAAGGCCCGCTTTCCTTAATGTGTGCAGAGTATTCCATGGAGGAGAGGTGCCAGATGTGCCCGTTTGATTATTTAACTACTGCATTATTAGCTAAGATTGTTATTCCCAATATTTTGCTATCATAAAGTTTATCATAAGTAGTGATAATGCAAGCAGGATTGTTTTCACATACTTGAGAGGATTATTCGTATGTAAGTATGAATGTATTTATATAGGTTTTTTGAGACAAGGTCTCACCTGGTGGTTTAGGTTGGCCTTGAATGCACTGTGTAACCCAGGCTGGCCTTGAGAGAATTTTGTTTTGTTTTGTTTTGTTCGTTAGTTTTGTTTTGTTTTGTTCGTTTGTTTTGTTTTGTTTTGTTTGGGCTTGGTTTGTCTTGGTTTTGGTTTGGTTTGGTTTGGTTTTTTTGAGGCAGTCTCACTATGTAGTGTGCAGTTTGGCCTTGAAATTACCTATAGCCCCAGGCTGGCCTTGAACTCACAGTGATCCTCCTGCCTCACCCTCTGGAATGCTGGGATTACAGGTGTGCACAACCACACTCAGCAAGAATATTAGTTTTAATATGAATTCATGAAGTCGCCTTACTAAGTTAAAATGTATATATTAATAATATAAACCAGATTACCTCCCACAGGGGTTATGCATTCCCACCATTGTATAAAGAAGTCTCTTTCAAGCCAGGTGTGGTAGTGCACACCTGTAATCCCAGCATTTGGGAGGCTGAGGCAGGAGGCATGAGTTTGAGGCCAACCTGGGCTACCTGGTGAGTTCAAGACCAGCCTGACCTACATAGAGAGATCTGGTCTCAAAAAACTAAAAACCAAATCAAAACAAAATAAAATGCCTCTTTCAGTTTCAGTCATGATGGTAGTACACCATATTTTTTTGATCTTTGAAAATTTAGCATGTAGAAAATGATACTTTAATTTTCCTTCCCGCTCTTGAACATGGCTTCTGTTGTGAGATTCTGGGACAAGGTGCTCATCCGAGGTCCACGTCTCCCCTGAAGAAGGTTCTCCTTGGTGTTTCTGGGCTTGGCGCGTCTCAGGGGTGGTTTGGTGGTTGAGTTGCTAATAATCCATTTCCCTTCTTGGGCAGGCTGTGGGATGATGGCATTATTGACCCGGTGGACACCAGATTGGTCCTGGGTCTCAGTATCAGCGCGGCCCTCAACGCACCAATCCAGAAGACTGACTTTGGCATCTTCAGGATGTAACTGGAGTCAAACATGTGCCAAAAAGTAACACGTGTCATAGCCTTAACGTTTGAAGGTTTTTTTTAATCATGTGGCTGTTAAAATATTTTTTTCTAAGCACAGTACATTGTACTTTTCTACCTTAAAAAAAAATCAGTGAGCACATTCATTTGACAAGCATCAGTTCCTTTTAAATTTTCTTAGAGAAATTCTCTATGGCTCAGTTTTACTGCTGTCATTTTGAATCCCACAAGAAGTATGAAAAATCCTATAATCTGTAAATTCCTGCTGTTAAGATCATTGATATAAAGTTGTATCTCCAATGAAATGATCATGTTGCTGATAATGCTTCATGATATTTTCCCTTCAGCCACTGTCCGCCTCCCTGCCTTGGCAGTCAGCCGTCTCCCTGTCTGCGCCCGGCCTCTCCCCGCTGCCCCCCCCGCCTCTTTCTCCACCCCCGCTTCCCTCCCTCCCTCTGTCCCTGACTTCCACTGCCAGCGCTTGTCCCAGGGACCCTGAGATCTCGGTGCTGTGAAACCAGCCGGCCGTCCCTACCCTTAGTGGAGGGGACCCAGCGGCACTGGGTCGGCAGTCTGTCTCACTTGTCATTGGTAACCCTGAGTACGTGCTTATTCTAAAAGATACAAAGAACACACAGATACCTATTTTTAAAAATTGTGGTCAGATACATATAAATTTATCTCAACCATTTATTTTTATCTTTTCTGTTTTTATGGGTATATGTTTGCAATACATAACAAATATACTCACCCTGAGGAGCCGGTGCATGTGCGTAGCCCATCTTGATCATTTTTACCCCCTTTCCCACCCTCCCTCACGTCTTTTCACATCCCTAAGTCCCTTCCCATCTCCACAGACTTTCTTTCGTTTCCTATCTGTCTTTTATTTTGCTGTTTAAATTTGTTTATACTTTGGGTTTCTTACCTAAGGAAGCCATGCGATGTTTACGCTTCTAGGTCCAGTTTGTTTTGCCAGCATGATGGTTGCAAGGCGCATCCACTTCCCTAACAGCGACTCAGATTTATCCTTCCTGTGCCCGAGAGTGCTCCATGTGACCGTTTTAAAGCCCAGCATCACTAAATACTTCCATATTGTTGTGCAGCCATCCCCATTATCCGTCTCTATTTTTCACACTGTGTCTTCAATGCCTGCCATTTGTAGATGTGCTGTATTTGTTGAATGAATAGATCAATGGAAAAAATTGTCAATTGAAAATTGTAACTGCTGTCCTTAGGCCACAAAGTTTTAAAATTAGGTGATTGATTATATGATTTCACATGACTATCAGATGTTTTCCTAATAAAATTAGCATTTCAAACATTTGTGTGATACTCAATTGAGGCTGCATTTCTGTATCATTCACTTTATTTTTGTGGGGAAGACATATCATAATTCTGAGGTAGTATCAGAAAGAACACATTCTTTTAAAAATTTTTTTACAAAGAAAGGCACAGTCCACTTTTATGTGCCTACTTTTTGTTAGTTTAAATCTTGAGTGGGACCACATCAAAAGGGTCCTGTGTCCAGGCCTTTGTAGGAGGTGGCTTTGGAATGTCTGTGAACCCTGCCCCTGCTTCTGCTGCTGGCACACATCACTTCTCCCCTGATGACTTAGGCTTTGTTCAGTTTGCTGCCTGGAGTCCCAGCGTCATTCTTTGCTTTGTACACGGAAGCACATCACTTGACCAAGTAGACTTCAGTCCCATGTTAGGCATAAACCCCTTGTGTTTGGAGAACTGCACGTGCTTCAGTCCTGAGAGCCCGGCACCAAGCAGCATCAACAGGCTCGAGATGCAGCCCGCCGCTCTCTGCCTTTTCAGAGCCCTCCTCCCAGGAGGGCTTCCCAGGCGTCCAGGTGGAAAAGCCATGTTAAATACCTTTAAATCATATTAATTTTTAATTAAAATTTGCATCGGTGTCAGAAAACATGATTTTATCAAGATGGGGTGATACTCCTTTGGTAGGAACCATCAGCAACTCAAGGATTCCAGATATCTTAGGAATATTTTTGCCTTTTAAGAGTTACTTTAAAAGGGTTACTATAGCCATCATTAAAACCATTTGCACTAGGCTATTTTTTTAAGAATTTATCCAATGAAGTGAAACTGGGATGAGGGAAAGGAGAAAAGGGAAAAAAAAAATACACACACACACACACACACACACGATAGCTAAAATAGTTACACTACTAATTTCTCTTAGTTCATTGAAAAGAAAGGTTTGTGCTAATATTTGGAGAATTAAATGCCTATATCTTGTAGTCTGAGTAATTTAAAGATAATATGCAATGTATTAACCATTGCTACTCTCCTATTTTGAAATTTTATTTCTTTTGTCTTTAAAAAAATTATCCAATAAAAACATAATTTTTAATCAAAATAGGTCTTTGTTTTTTGCATTTTGACTATTGCATAATCCATAATCACAGATTTTTTTTTTTTTTTCCCAGTACTGGGAATTGAATTTATGACCTTGTGCTTGCCAGGCAGGCGCTGTGCTACTGAGCTAATCCCCAGCCCCAATCACAGATTTTAAAGAAATAAACAGCCTCTAAATTTGCGTCTCACAGTATTTAGACACAAATTTTCTTCAGTTTCAAGAGATGTTTTCAAATTAGAATTCATTTAAATAAGATGAACTAGATAATCATAGCTTAGTGACATTTATAACATTTCTCTAAAATGTTACAAATGAGGTACAAGTAATACTTGCTGAGGACCTGGGTTTGAATTGTTTTGACAAAAGCCTTTCTGCAAAATGATTTGCTTTTACTTAATATGCCTCAAATTCCCTTGGATCTGGAAGCAGGTTAGAGCCAAATGAAATTTCTCTGCATCTCGTACCTTCCTAGGCAAACATCCTTTGCAGATGATGGGGCTGTGATGAAGTAGCCCTGTCATTTATCATCTGTGCTGGGACACCTGAGAGTGACAGACTCTGCAGCAATCTCCTGGGAAACAGGTCTGAACCAGGCCCACGATGGGCAGACTGGAGTGTGTCATTGATCTCTCTGGAATTTAGACTTCACGGTGGACGAGTACTTTGGGTACCTGTTAGCTTTGGTAATTCTGGTAAAGTCAGTATTCCAGATGCCTGGAACAAAACCCAAACCAAAAAGCATAATCCTACACCCAGAGATAGCCACTGCTCTTAAGGTTTTCTTGTATTTTTTTTTTTTCCTAAGAATTTGCTTTACAAAAATCAAGTGTTTCATCTTACTCTGGAATGTGCATTTTCACTTAATACATTGTGAATATATTGACACATTTCTTCTGCTATAATTGTGATGTAGCATGATATTATATAGATGTTATTTCATTTAACTGTTTCTCTATTATTGGACACTTGGGTGATTTTTGGTCTCCCACTACAGCATTACAGAAATCCTGCAGTGAACATTTCTCTAGTTTCTTATATATGTGGTTATTTTCTTAGGATAGATTCCTAGAAGTGGGGTAGTTGGGTCAAAGTGTGCACAGACTTTGAAGACGTGTTGCTAAGTGTATTTTCATGGTCCAGATAGCACTGGATATAATGATGACCTTGGGTGCTTTCAGGTCCTGAAATATTAGCTTCCTGGAGAATAGAATTGTCTCATGTAAACCCGGGTTTCCTGTAGCTGTTGGAAGCTGTGTTTGGGTGACGTGCATGTTGTAAGGCTCAGCATGAATGCAGGGGGTGAGGCCATGGTGGTGGAAAGAACCCAGGCCGAGCTGAAATCAGTTCAGCCTTGGTTTTGCTACTAAAGAGTTGTGGGAACCTCAGGAAGGTGGGAAGGGACCAGAACCCACCCCTTTGGCCGAGGGTTGTCTTTTCTCCATCTCGCCAGGTTCCCTTTTCCACTGTAATATGGTTTGAACCTAGAATGTACCCCCAGCCTCTCAGGTTCTGAAGGCAATTGGATCATGGGGGTGCATCCTTCATCCACTGAGTTCATAGCTGTTAGGACTCAGGGACGAGTTGCAGGGGGCAAGTAGCTGAGGCTGTGACCTGGCAGGGTGTCTTATCCCAGCTCCACCCTCCCTGTCTCTTTGACTGCTTCCTGGCCGCCATGGTGTGAGCAGCTTTTCTCCATGCCCTTTCTGCCTTGCAGCCATGGACTGAATCTTGTGAGCCATAATAAACCTCTCTAAGTTGTGGGTGGTGAGTGTTTTGTCCAAGTCACTGAGAAATTGTGAACACCTGCCAGGCAGTGCAGTGGGGCAAGTGGGCTGTGGACGGGGAGTGGAAGGAAGGTTGAGTAAGGTGTGCCAATGATCTCATCTTCACTCCATGGTTCAGATGAACAGATGTTTGCTGAGGGCTCCTACCTGCCAGGCATAGAGAGAGAAAGCATGGTCCCTGTGCTTCTGCAGATCTAGCAGTGACTTGAGGGAGTTTCCCCAGCTCTGGACCCCTCCACCATTTGGTGATTGCCCTGTGGTTCTATGGGAACTACACTTCTTTTGTTACAGGCAGACATGGTGAATATGAGGCAGAACCCTGCCCCTTGGCTGAGAGCTGGCCACACAGATCTGTTCAGTGGACTCTCCAGCTGACTTGTGCCAATGACAGAGACTGACACTGATGGACAAAGACTGGTCACTTGGGTTCCAGTGAACCCCAGGAGGCTGTTTCTTCCTGCCCCTGGTTCCTACTAGTACTGCCTGGGTTCCTGGGAATCTGCAAGCCTGAGGCATTTTGTAACCTTTTAACTGTCCTGTTTATTAGTTTAACTTGCCTAAGTCAGGCTGCAGTGCTTTAAGCAACAAACCCTACCTAGTAGCATATGCCGCAAGTCAAAGGTTACCCTAAATTCCTCTATCTTATCACACCTGGAGGAAGGTTTACTACCTGCATTTTAAAAAGACTTCAGAAAGGAACCACTGGAACACTGAAACTAGGTGTGGCAGTGATGATTTGCTCTTGTGCCTGGCAGTTACATTTCTGGGCTCAGCAGATATGATAAAATATGTTTAGAAGAGTGAACTGAGAGCACTTGTCCTCAAGGACATGGAATGGTCAAAAGACGAGGGTTCTGACTTTGTACCACATCACCAGTGAGGATGGATCGGGGGCTTGAGTTGTCACGAGGGAAATTCCATTTGTCACAACATTTTGATAACTGAAAAATGAGTCTGAGTAAGGTTTTAGGTTACTTTTACTTGGAAATCTTGCTTTAATAATCTGAAAAATCTTCCACTGGAGAAAATCTAAAAGTGGCCAAGAGATAGGAAATAGAACTAAGTGACTTCCTGGTAGATTTAAGTGACTTTGGGTAGCCTTAGGGCACAGTCTGACATGAATGGTAAACAGGAATGCTCACAATCCCTTTTGAAGTGTTTACACTTGGCATTTATTGTATGAAGTGTGCAAATATTTGGGAGACTCCTGTTTTTATTTTAGAGCCATTGGTGTTTTAAGTTTTTAAAACTTTGTTTTGATTTTAATGTGGCCTGTTTTTTAACCTCTTTTCACCATGAAGAATATTTTAAAAAGGAACTATAAGATCAGGGCACTAGAACTGAGCACTGTAATAAAAGAACTAATAGAGTTTTTTTGTGCAGATCACAAGCCTATACTGGAGTGGATTTAGGATCCCTGACAGCAAGCATTAGACCTGTTTCTGGGAGAGAGAGCTCAATTTGGAGTCACAAGGTCTGACTTCTTGTCTGGATATTGCAACTCATTAACGGTGTGATTTTGGGTGAGCCTCTCCTCATCTCATAATATATGGGTGGGACCAGCTTAGTGATTTTTCTACCCTAGTTTCACAGTGAAAGTAGCCAAAGAAGTTTAACCGTGTTTGAAGAGGAATCTTTGGGCGTGGGGGTGTTGCAGCAAAACCGGGTCCAGGAAAAGAACGATGCCTGAGGAAGTCAGGAGGCAGTGAACAGCTTCATTCTACACCTGTGATCCCGGCTGGAATAACTTCCAACAAAGGCCAGGCGATGAGTGTCTATGAGCCAGCATTTTTATATGAGGCATAAGCAGGGGTTACAAAGGTGGGACAGGACAGCCTGTAGTTCTTCTGACTAGCTGGCAGGGTGAGCTCATCAGTTACAGGGCTAAATTAATGGCCATCAGTTATAATCAGGCATCCTGTATGTTTGGTTATGCTGTCATGGTTACAGGGTCAAGAAAGCAATTACAGAGCCATGAAGCAGTTACAGAGCTAGGCAGCTTCAAAGAAAACAAAGTTTTAAAAAGAATAATTTTTCCTACTACAGTTTCCCCTTTCAGTGGGATATTTTTTAATGTCCCCCATACCTCTTTGGAACAATGGTGCCCAGCATGGTGGTGCATACCAGTAATCCTAGCACTTGGGAGGCTGAGGCAGG